AACTTGTCTCTTAGATAAAGAGCAACCTCTCCCTTTTCTCCAAGGCTGCAAATGACAGCATGTCTAGAAGGGCAGCTGGACTCAGATAAGGGAATTGTCTTATTTTAGTCACAAATGACTAGGCTGGCATCTTCAACAACTGTGGCCAAACTTGGGAGACAGGGCAGGGCAGGGCAGCTAAGAGTCCACAGCCTGCCTCGGGGAGAGGAGAGCCACTCACATCTGGCTCACCCTTTGCTGGGTGCAGGGACAAGGATGGGCAGGAGAATGACCAGCAAGTTCTAAAGATGCAAAGGAATGAAGGAAAAGAGTATAGGCAACGAAATCCAACAGACATGGCGCGGGGCCCCCAGCTCCACCACTCACTAGCTGTGACTCCCTGAGCAAATTATGCCATCTCTCCAAGACCCAATCTCTTTATCTAGAAAAATAGAATTAAGAGGGCTGCCTCCTTTGCCATGAAACCAGAAGATGTGGATGATGCCTAGCTACCATTATTGAACATTTTGATCAAGATCCTATAAACAAATCCTGATCAAAAAGGGTAAAATACAGAGCAGGATTTCACATTCTCATTGAATCCAGACTTTGTGTGGTCCTGAAGGCTAGGTGAACCCCTGAAACTATTGGCCTGAGATCGTCTTAAACCTTAAATTAAAAATATCTCCTTAAGTCTTCTTAAAACCAAACAATAGTTTAGCTTAACTGGTAAAGAATGTCTACCTTGAGCACTGTGTTCTTTTGACATCTATGTAGGATCAAATTAACAGCAGCAACTCAAAAGATTAGATAGGAATCTTAAGGAACAGTGAGTATATATTAATGGGGGAAAAACAATTCTGAAAAAGAGGGTGAGAATGGTTGCACAAGTCAAAGAATAATCAATGTCACTAAACTGTACATGTTTTAATGTATGTTCTGTTGTGTATGTTTTCAACAACAACAATAACAGGTATTTTTTGGTTTTATATATATATATATATAGAGAGAGAGAGAGAGAGAGAGAGAGAGAGGAAGTATTAAAGGTATATAGTTGTTGTGAGGTTTATATAACTTATGCTAACCTTTGGCCTAATGTCTGGCACATAGTAGGTGCTTAGGATTTACCATCTCCCAGGAGCATAAGACCCTGCTTTCAGACATAAACATGATGGTGCTTCTACAACTGGGAATTCCTAATTTTGAGGAATTCAGCAACATTCCAGGAGGCAGTGGAAGCCCTGGGACAGCACAGAGAATCATTACCAAGCATCAGCTGTGCTTAATGGTAAGAAATATACCTTATTCTTATATGAGAATATCCTTATTCTTATATGAGAGAGCTCTGGTAGCATAGTGCCTAAGGCACTTGACTGCTAACCAGAAAGCTGGTGGTTCAAGCCCACCAATCACTCCTCGGAAGGAAGGTGGGACAATCTATTTCCGTAGTGATACTGCCTTGGAAACCCAAGGAGGGGTCGCTATGAGTCTAGTTCAACTTGACAGCACATAACAACAACAATAACAATTCTTATATGGGGTCTGTAGTAGAATTTTCACTTCTATGTAGGAGACCTGAGTTTGATTTCTGGTCAATGCACCTCGTGTCCAGCCCCCAACTGTCTGTCAATGGAGGCTTGCACCTTCTTAGGATGCTGAACAGGTTTCAGAGGAACTTCCCGACTAAGATGGACTAGGAAGAAAGGCCTGGTAATCGACTTCTGAAAAATCAGCCAGTGAAAACTCTATGGATCATGATGATCTGATCCCATTGCATATGGGGTCCCCATGAGCCAGGGACAGCTAACAACATTCTTATATTCAACCCAAACTGGCTGTATTGTGGAGTAAAACACAAAAATATAATGAGGGTTTACAGTAATGTTTAAGATGCAAAATAGATGTCATTACACTAGTAGACCACCATGCCTACCTACCACAGAGGTTTTGGGTGGGACTCATTACCCTCCTTCTCACTGATGGGGTATTCCAGAGATTCAGTGTATGGAAAGAGCTCTGCTCTCAAATCAAGAGAGGTGGGTCTCATCTCTGAGAGAGGGGAAGTCACTCCTCTCTCTTTTTCAGAGATTGTTTCCTCCTCGGTAAAAAGAAGGGGATTTTCTAACTGATCTTTAGAGTCCCCATCTCTGAGTCTATGATAATGAGTCAGGAAATATTTTTTGAATGAATGGAAGTGGACCTATCATAAGCTAAGAATTCCATGCTGTCTAGCATCTCTTCCTGTGTGGGGTGATCCGTAAGAAAATGGAATCTACTTCTACTGGCTGCTAGCCTCAAAGACAGCTAGCTACTAGGCATGATGCCTTTGCAGGAAGTAGATGCCCAATGTATATCTGGGGGAAAACTAAATTAATTGATTCCAACCTCAGCAGTGATGGAAATTTGCTTCCTCGCTTCTTCCTCTAGGAAAGCATACTCAAAATTCAAACACCCAGCAAGAGGAGTAGTATTTAATGCCCAGTGGGAGCAAAAAGGTTCATATAGCCCCCACCCTCCAGGACTCTCAGCTGCACCACTCTTCCTGAGCACCAGGGGCGTAATTCCCAGCAATGGTCTCACACCCAGAGAGGGAAGGAGATGTGCGCAGGGAGGGCCTATGCCTGACTCCAGGACAGCTCATCCACCTACCCTCTCCCTAAGGCAACTTTCCTCCTCCCGCATAGAACACCTGGTTCAAGTCACCTGCGCTCCAACTCTCCGAGTTTCTGTGTCCAGTGTTGCTTAACTACATTTGGCGATTTCTCCACTTTTTCCTTTCTGATACAGAGATTGGACCCTTTATTCCTCTTCAAAGCCTTTGCCCTTTCCAACATTTCCTCATTGTCTTTCATAGCCCACTGTTCCCCATAATGGGGCAACCACATTCCCTCCCTCTTCCTTCTCTGTTCTTCTCTACCTGCCCAGCCCCAAGCCAAGTTAAATCATGTCTCATTTCCAAGTCTCAGTTCTTTTCAAACAACTTTACAAGCCCATGAAAGCCAAGGCCAAGGCAGTGATTGAGACTGGCACTTCATTGTGCTTCCAGACGACGCTGTCCAAAAAGACCACGGAAACCAAGGATAGGAGTAAGCCTGCTGATCCCTGGGAGAACTTCTAGGGTCAGAATGGTGCCAAACATTTGGAGGTGGGGCCCCTTTAGAAGTATCGGCAATAGGTTGAAGGAATCAAGGGTCAGAATCTTCAGACACAAAATCCAAGACTTCATTGACAGGTAATCGATAAATAAGCTTTCCCTGAGGCTGTGAGGAAGCCTCAAGGTAGTCATCTTTGAAGCCAGGCCTGGGGCTCTTCCTGCCATCAAGTTTCCCTCTTCTCTTGGATCCTGAGCGTTCCACCCTCTCTAGGGCTAGGTGGTATTCCAGTTCCCTTCTGAAACCTGCCTTAAGGCTTCCGGTCCAACACAACCGCTCCTTCTCTGGACTCCTTTCCAAATTGTCCTTCCCACACAATCTACTACAGCACAGCCTTTGGAACTCCATAAACTTGCATTCAAGTCTATACCACTATTTGTGGCTGTATGAATGCCTGCAAATCACCGAACCTCTCTAAGCCTGTTTCCTCCTGCAAAACAGGACTGAAAATGTCTCACTGGAGCATGTGAAGATTGCTCTGACTGCTGCTATCATTATTATTTCTGTTTCTGAAATCTGAATCCTGCCTCCCCACCTAGTCTCAGTCTAAAGTACCCCAGCAAGACCGTATCTTTTACTTTCTTGGTACTCTCAGAACTGGGCTTAATAAATACTTACTGAGTAGAATTAACCATAGACTGAGCTGTCTTAATGACCCAGCTGGCACTTCTTAAAAGAATAATTAATTTTGCTAGCGATAAGTAGATCAGCCATATAATTATCCGCACATATATAGACAAAGAAAGGGAATGCTAGGAATTCAGGTAGGCTAGAATACCTCACATGTGCAGCACCTCCACAGGCCCCCTGCAAGGCACAGCCCCTGTTTTGGAAGGGACATCAGCAGCCCCAGGGTCACAGATACCACTCTAATGTCCAGGCTATCCTCTGGCCCTCTAAGGCTAGTATTCCTGGCCTGGGAATGTGAGCCATGTTATTGTTTGGATTTTCCCCAAACTCACAGGCTGAACAGGAGGCTGCAAGAATTGAGCAGTTCTGTGCTTCCAGTCAGTGCCTCTCCTACTCACACTCCCTGCCCCAGGCCGACACCAAGATCCAGGACCTGTCTTAGGAGCTGGTTCAAGTTTCCACAAGCGCTAGGGCACGCACTGACTGGAGCTGATCCTCAGAGCTTTGGAGCCTAGGTGCAGTTGTGGGTGATAGAGACCAGAGTCCCCTTTCTGGAAAGCTCACTGTCAGCCACTCTCACAGGGGCAACAGGGACCACCCTGCCAAGAGCCTCTGTCTGCTCCTGCCCCCTGACCTGTCTTTGCCCAGATTCTGCCCCAATCTGCCTCTAATCCAGCCCCTGCCTCAGTCCATTTCCCAGCTCTGACCTGCCTTTGCCTCAGTCTCTGCCCCAGCCCTACAGCAACCCGGGCTCCAGCTCCTGCCCCAACCCTGCCCCAGCCCTGCCCCAGTCCTTACCCCAGTCCCAGCCCATGCCCCACCCCCTGGGTCTGTCCTCGCCTCTGTCGCTTCTCTGCCCGGCCTCAGCCCAGCCTGGACTTCCAGCGCCCTTGGGCACAAGAGCTTGTTAGTCCAGACACCGGGTGTTAGCATCTAAAAGTACAGTTACTTTCTGCCATGTGCTCCGCTCTAGCGACCTCACCCAAAACTGCGCGCCGGCAGCCTGTCCAGTCAACTTTTTCTCTTTCCCTTTTCCTTAAAACAAAACGGTGCTTCCCACCAACAAATTCGCCCACCAACAATTTAGCGCAAACCTCAGCCCAGCTTTCCTTAACCAAATCCAAGACGCTCGCCTCCCGCTCGACTCGGGGCCCCGGCGCCGAGTCAGCCTGTAGGGCTGCTGGGCGTCCCGGGCACTCCTGGCACGTCTTCCCACTGTCCCGCTTAGCGGGCACTCACCGATCTGCGCCAGACTCAGCTGCACGAGGCAGACTCCCCAGGCTGCGCGCCACCAAAGCTTGTCCATGGTGTCGGGAGGAAGGGGAGAGAAGGCAATCAGACCTGGAGGGTCCCGGGGCGCAGGGCAGGGGCGGAGGACTGGGCAAAGAGGGCGGCCCGAACCTGTCAGAGGCTGGGGTCCGGCTGGGCAATGAGGCCGCCTCGGAAGTTGGCTGCAGTTTTTATTTGAGGGTTGAACAGTGACCTAAGAGGGAGGGAGAGAAGGAGAGAGAGAGGGAGGGAGCGAGCCACCAAAGGACACACCCAATCGAGGGGGCTGTGACTAAGCAGCCGGCAGAGGTTTAAAGACGTACCAGCCCTCTTGAAGCTGCCCCGCTGCCCCGGCCGCATTCTCTACCGAGATTGTCAATCTGGGCTGCCCCAGCCCTGGGAGTCCCATCTCTCCCAGCATCCGCTGGCCTGCGCGGCCCGGGTCACCGGCTCCAGGGGGCTGAACTGGGGGCCTAAGCACAGAGGATGACTGAGTCCTGAAGCCTACTCCCCTAGGTCCAGCCTCTGGCCTCTACTGTCCACAGTTTCTCTTTGAATCCAGCTGGGGAATGGTTCTTTCTGGGTTTCAGAGGCAGCTGGATATCATGGGAGAGGAGACTGGACAAAGGTGAGGCCCTGCACTGGATAGTGCTTCCCTGCCCACAGAGAGTGGTGGGAAAGATCTTGGGATTCTCTCTGTGGGAGGGAACGAGAGCATGCCCCTCTTCCACTCGAGGTGAAACGAAAGTCCACAGCGCTCAAGTGCATTTCAGGTTCTTAGCAGAAGTGGCCAGGGAAAGCTAGAGGGCCAACCATGGGCTATTTGTCTCCACTAACTGACCGCTCATCCTCCAGTCCATCCATCCACCCAATCACACACTCATTCATGCTTCCAAACATCCTTCCATGCACCACTCATCTATCCACCCATCTTTCATTGCATACTACCAGCACTCATCCATCCCTCCATCCTATCCATCCATTTATCCACCCACATGTCTATCCATCATTTCCACATTCTTTTCAACACATTTATTCATCCATCTTTCTTCCAGTCATTTATCCAACCACACATCTTTTTATCTATTCATCTATTCAATCATATATTCTCCCACCTATCCTACCATAGCGGGAGCTCTGGTGGCGTAGTGCCTAACACATTTGACTGCTAACCAGAAGGCTGGCGGTTCAAACCCACCAGCCACTCCTCAGAAGGAAGGTTGGGCAATCTACTTGCGTAGTGATACCACCTTGGAAACCCAAGGAGGGGTTGCTGAGTGGGATCCGACTCCATGGCAGTGAGTTTGGGTGTTTTTTTTTTTTTTTTTAAATTTGGATCTTACCATACATTTTCATATCTATCCTTTCATCCCTTCTTCTTCACCTCTTCCACACCATTGATAAACTCACATAAACTATCATCCTTTTCTCCATACATCTACTCATATATCTAGTCATCTGTGTATCCATCAATTGTCCATCCATCATCCACATATCCACTTTTTTATCCATCTTCTTATCCATCCACATACCCATCCATTCTTTCTTGCTTCCATTCCTACTCCTATCTATGCAAACATTAATCTACTTCTCTAATCTAACCTACACAGTAAATATCAATATATATATATTTCAAAGAGAAGAGGACGTTGTCATATTCTTTAGGAGAGACATTTTGAGTTTGAAAACCTATATTTCACATCCTAATTCATATATATCTAGACAGTTGCCATGGAGTCAGTTCTGACTCATAGTGACCCCAGGTGTGTCAGAACAAAATTGTGCTCCATAGGGTTTTCAGTAGTTGCTTTTCAAAAATACACCACCAGGCCTCTCTTCTGAGGCACATTTGGATGAACTAGAACTTCCAGCCTTTCAGTTAGAAGCTGAGAGCCTTCACCATTTATAATATATTATGATTTAGGATTTGGAAATCAAAAACAATTATTTGTTTTGAATGTGAACCACTGAAAGCAAAGCAGAATAGACTTCTTGTCTGCTGAGATACACAGAAAATGATAGTGGTATTCAATAGCTGGGCTGTGATGCTGAAGGGGCCATACCAGAATTTCTGACAGAATATCAGATTTTATTATTTATTAAAATAATTTGAAAACTTGAGAAAAAATACCCCCAGCTATCAACCCATGCATCTACTCATCAAATTGTACTGAGTGCCAAAGGATACCAAAAATAAAATAAAGTAAGACCTGGCCCCATCAGGGATCTCACACTCAGACAGGAAATCAGACTCACAAGCAGACTATTATGCATATTGAGATGTGTATGCAGACTGCTATCGATCCTGGAGAGAAGGAGTGCCAGCCTTTACTGGGAAACACTAGGGAGGCTTCACAGTGGAGGTGATATTTGAACCAGGTCTAGAAGGAGTAGGAATTCTTCAGATGAAACTAAATGGACTAGACATCCACAGGCAGTACTCTGTAGTGGTTACAATAAGGATTCAGAAGCCAGAATGCCTTGGTTCAAATGCTAATCTGGGCACTTATTAGTTGTATGACTTTCGACAAATCAGTTTGTCTTTCTGTGCCTCGTTATTCTCATGCACAAAATGGAGTTAAGAATGTTACTGTTGTTAGGTGCCATTGAGTCCATTGTGGCTCATAGTGACCCCATGTAAGATAGAACAAAACACTGCCCAGTCTTGCTCTATCCTCTCAATAGTTGCTATGCTCTAACCGATTGTTGCAGCCACTGTGTCAGCCCATCTCACTGAAGGGCTTCCTCTTTTTCATTGACCCCCTACTTTACCAAGCATGATGTCCTTTTCCAGGGACTGGTCCCTCCTGATAACATGACCACAGTACAAGAGATGAAATCTCACCATCTTCACTTCCAAGGAGCCTTCTGGCTGTACTTCTTCCAAGACAGATTTGTTTGCTCTTCTGGAAGCCCATGATATAGTCAGTATTCTTTGCCAACACTAATTCAAATGCATCCATTTTTCTTCAGTTTTTCTTATTCATTGTCCAGCTTTCACATGCATGTGAGACAATTGAAAATATCATGGCTTGAATCAGGCATACCTTAGTCTTCAGAGTGATATTTTTGTTCTTTACAGAGACTTTAAAGAAGTCTTTTGCAGCAGATTTGCCAATGCGATAGGCATTTGATTTCTTGACTGCTGCTTCCATGGGTGTTGGTTGTGGATCCAAGTAAAATGAAATCCTTGACAATTTCAATCTTTTCTCCATTTATCATGATTATTATATATTATTGGTCCAGTTGTGAGGTATTTTTTTTTTTTAATTTATGTTGAGATGGGTTAATGAAAGTATTATTTAATAGGATTGTTGTGAAGATTAAGAAAGAATCAAACGTGCTGTAGGTAGTAATCACTCAACAATGTAAGTATTCGAGTCCCTGTGTGGTGCAAACACTTAATGAATGCACTTAGCTGCTAACCAAAAGGTTGGAGGCTTGAGTCCACCCAGAGATGCCTCAGAAGAAAGACCTGATGATCTACTTCTGAAAAATTAGCATTGAAACTCCTGTGGAGCACAGGTCTTTTCTGATACACATGGTGTTACCATCAGTCAGAATCGATTTGATAGCAACTGTTTCGTACATGTGTGTGTGTGTGTGTGCATGCTTGCTACTATTAACAGTAAAAGTATGTGTGAGCATGGAAAAGTAAAAGAACATGGCTTGTTCAGGAAGTGGAGAGCAGTTTTAAATGACTAGAGCATTAGATCAGATGAAAACTTTAATAACACATGAGGCTAGAGAGATATAAGAGGCCAGGTTGTAAGCTATATGAGAAAGTTTAAACTTGACCACATAGGAAATAGAGAGCTGTGATAGTTGGAGCTGTGTGTCAACTTGACTGGACCACAATTCTGTGTGGTTTAAGCAATTGTGATGTGGGTTGCTCCGTTGAAGGGATCAGATATATATGTTTTGAGCAGCCAATCTGTTGAAAGGGAGTTTCCCTAGGGGTGTGGCCTGCTTCCAGTATATTTCTGAACATCCTGGCAAAGAGACACTGTTCTGTGGATCGGGATCCTGTTGGTGCTGCCTACAACTGCTCTTGAGCAAACAATCCACCATTCGGCCTGGAGGTCTTGGATTCATTATTCATTGGAGTCAACAGCCAGTATACTGCCTGCCAACCTTGAGCTCCTCAGCCCCTGCAGCTATGTGAGTTGGAAAAAGCCTCCACCTTGACGTTTGTTCCAAGAACTTTGGACTTGCCAGCTTCTATGAGTATGGGAGCCATTTTCCTAAAATAAATTTCCCTTTCTCTTTCTATATAAGCTTTACTGGTTTTATTTCTCTAGAGAACCCAGTCTAACACATTTGGTACTGAGAGTGGGGTTCAAACCCATGCAGGCACTAGTCCATTGGATCAGCTGGATCATATGGCCCAAGTGGCAGAGCAGCCAGCACGGCAGCCTGAACCTGTTGCAGGGCCTTCTGTTGTTCGGGGCCCCACTCAAAACTAGCAGCTTTCCGAGTCACTTGATAAATAGGCCACAGCAACACACTCAAATGTGGGATCTGTTGCCTCCAAAATCCAAAGAGGCCCACCATATGTTGTGCCTCCTTTTTAGATGTGGGGGAAGCCAGATACAGTAACTTATCATTCCCCTTAGTAAGAATATCTTGACATGCTCCACACCATTGGACCCCTAGAAATTTCACTGAGGTGGAAGGTGCCTGAATTTTTGTTGGGTTAATTTCCCACCCTCTAGCATGTATATGTCTCACCAATAAGTCTACAGTCATTGATACTTCTTTCTTACTAGGTCCAATCAGCATAATGTCATCAATGTAATGGACCAGTGTGATGTCTTGTGGAAGGGAAAGGTGATCAAGATCCCTACGGACTAAATTATGATATTGTGCTGGGGAGTTGATATACCTCTAAGGAAGCACTGTGAAAGTA